GAGGCTGTTTGTCCCCGCAAACATTTACAGTCTGAACATGCCTCTGACAGGCACTATGGATTGGGAAAAGACAGAAGAGAATTCTTCTGTTCTGGGTTATGTAATTCCCAGGATACAGTTTTTGGTTATATATATATACACTATACATCCTGTATACAGACACCAGAATTCAAATCGACAGCTACTGCATGGGCTACACAGGGTCGCCAAGGCTGTACATCTTTACGGGAGCAGACAGTCTCATCTTGCAGGGAGTGGGGGGCAGGTGTGGAGCACTCACCTCGTGGTGAGCAGTCCCATGCTTCAACGTTACAACACCACTGGGGCGTCTTACACACACTCACATATATACAAAATACACATGAATGGGCATCAATAATTCCATGGAGACGTCATCATCTTTCCACTCTATCTTTTGAGGAATTTTTCAAGGCCTTACATGTATGAGAGGGCTTCAAAACAATTCATGAAAACTTTCTGAATTCCCTTTGTATATATTGAACTATGGGAGATTAATTTCACTGATCCATGACCTTTCTGTATGTGTGTGTGTACACCTATATGTATATAAACACATATATCAGACATAGATATGTGTGTGTATATATATATATATATCCCACTGTCATAGTGACCCTACAGGACAAAACAAGATTGCCCCATAGGTTCCCAAGAATGTAATCTTTACACAGCAGACTAACACATCTTTCTCTTGTGGAGAGTTTGGTGGGTTTGAACTGCCAACCTTCCAGTTATAACAAACTATGTTCAGTATCCACTGTGCCATTAAGACTTCTATATTTTATAACACAGTTTTCAAATATTGGGCAACATAGTACAAAAACCAAGATGGAATATAAAATAAATTCTGCTATATGTGTTTTATAGTCTACTTGAAATAGTATACTATTGATTTAGGGTAATACCGTCAGATAAGTGTCGGGCTCCTTGTCTGCTCCAAGACTGTAAGAATAAACACATATATACACTTATTTATTCCCTGTTATTTTTAGGTGCCATCTAGTTGGTTCCACCCACAGTAACCCTGTGCACCTTAGGAAGCAGCACTACCTGGCCCTGTGCCGTTCTCACGTCGTCTGATGTTTGAGCCCACTGTTGCAGCCACTGTATCAATCTATCTCATTGAGGGCTCCTCTTTTCACTGCCCCTCTACTGTAACAAGCATGATGTCCTTCTCAGGGACTGGGCTCTGCTGAGAACATGTCTAAAGTCCATGAGATGAAATCTTGCCATCCTTGCCTCTAAGGAGCATTCTGGCTGTACTCCTTTCAAGACAGATTTGTTTGTTCTTTTGGCAGTCCATGGTACAGTGAACCCTCGTTTATCGCGGTTAATCGGTTCTAGACCCTACCTTGATAAATGAAAT